CCCCCCCACCCTGTGACTATTTTCCCCTAAATCAGAGAGGAAAAGGTCCCTGCCTCATTCCACCTGTCTTGCCTCCCCAGGTCTGACCCACAGGAAACATGGCAACGAGCGCTGTCCCCAGTGACAACCTACCCACATACAAGCTCGTGGTGGTGGGGGATGGGGGTGTGGGCAAGAGTGCCCTCACCATCCAGTTTTTCCAGAAGATCTTTGTGCCTGACTACGACCCCACCATCGAAGACTCCTACCTGAAACATACAGAGATTGACAATCAATGGGCCATCTTGGACGGTGAGACCTGGCTGGCAGCCCTGAGGCCGCTGGGGCATTATATGCAGAGGGTCAGGGAAAGGTGACGGGCTTCAGTGGGGCATGATGGTTTTCATCAAGTTGCCATTAGGAAACAGTTGGTATTATGAGACAGTTGGTCCAAGGCCATGTATGGTTTCCAGGGTGAATTCTGAACAGCTTTGTGGAAACCCAAATGTGTATTCAACAAAGAGGCAGGGCTAGAGTCATGCCAACTCAGTGATGTCATGTTTGTTATTTCTTGCTGATCAGAAGCTCTGGGTAACATTTACAGATGTCTCTAGCTAATAAAAAAGGGGAAAATAAATTTCTCAACAAGCATGGTTTATTTGGTAAAATGTCCCTTGGAGGGGAAAAACTTGCAATCTGACATTGTGTTTCTAGTTTAGCCTAAATTGGCCTAGATGAGCAGTTCTCAAAGTGTGGTAGCCACGCCACCAGCAGCAGCATCACCAGGGAATTTATCAGAAATGGCAACCCTCAAGCCCTACTGATTCAGAAATTCTAAGGGTGAGGTCCAGCAATCTGCTTTAACAAGCTCTCCAGGTAATGCTGTAGTTAAATAACCACTACTCAAGATTCTTCCTGATTATTACTTTATACTCTGAGTCTGTCTCTTAAACAAAGAGCCATTAATCGTAGACTGTCATTCTAGGAGGGAAGCTTTGAAAACCATTGGGATACAAGTTCTCTGCCAGATGTGTGATCTGCAGATATTTTCTCCCACTCTGTGGCTTTTCATTCTCTTTAACAGTGTCTGTCAAAGACCAGATTTAAAATTTTTTATAAAGTCCCATTTATCAGTTTGTTCTTTTATGGATTGTGCTTTTGGTGTACTATCTAAGAAATCGTACCCTAACCCAAGGTCACCAAAGTTTTCGCCTATATTTTCTTCTAGAAGTTTAATGGTTTGAGGTTTATCATCTATCCTGAGCTAATATTTGTATATGGTATGAGATATGGAACAAAGTTCATTTTTTTATATGAATATGCATTTGTTCCAGCACTGTTTGTTGAATGATTGTCCTTTCCAGACTGAATTGCCTTTGTACCTGTGATGAGAATTGTTTATCTGCATATTCTGTTTCTTTGATCTCTATGTCTGTTTTAATACAATACCACACTGTCTTGATAATTGTGGCTTTATAAGTCTTGAAATCGGGTGCTGTTAAATCTCCAACTTTGATCTTCTTCAAAGTTGGTTTGGCTACCCTAGATCCTTTGCATTTCCATATGAGTTTTAGAATCAGTTAAATTATAAAATTTTAGATTTTGTTTGGGATTGTGTTGAATCTATAGATAAATTTGGGGAAATTGACATCTTAGCAATGTTGAGCTTCCAACCTATGAGCACAGTATCCCTCTCCATCTATTTTTAAGTCTTCTTTAATTCTCCCATTAATTGTTTTGTGGTTTTGAGTGCCTAGGTCTTTTACATATTTTGTCAGATTTATACTTACATCTGTATTATAAATGATATTTTTTATTTAGGTTTTCAATTGTTTGTTCTATATACTAGCAAGTATATAGAAATGCTATAGAATTTTGTATATAATTTATAACCTGCAACCTTGCTAAACTCGCTTATTCTAGCTTTTTTTGTAGATTCCATTGGATTTTCTGCATAGATGGTTAGGTCTCTGAGTAAAGATAGTTTTACTTCTTTCTAATCTGGATGGCTTTTATTTCCTTTTTTTCTTACCTCATTTCACTAACTAAAGACATACTTGTCTTGATCTTAAAGAGAAAGCTTTCACTGTCTGCATTAAGTCTGATGTTAGCTGTAGGTTTTTTATAGATGCCCTTTATCAGGTTGAGGAAGTTCCTTTCTATTCCTGGATTGCTGAGAGTTTTGATCAGGAATGGATGCTGGATTTTGTCAAATGCTTTTTTCTGTGTCTACTTAGATAATCATATGATTTTTCTTTTTTTGTTTGTTAATACAGCAAATTAATATTGATTGATTTTTCTAATGTCAAACCAACATTGCAACTCTGGGATAAACTTTACTTGGTCATGATGAATTGTCTTTTTATATATTCTTGTCTTTGATTTGCTAAATTTTGTTTAGAATTTTTGCATCTGTGTTCTTGAGAGATATTGGTCTGTAATTGTTTTGTAATGTCAAATAATGCTGGCTTTATTGAATGAATAGGGAAGCATGCCCTCTTCAATTTTCTGGAAGGATCTGAACAAAATTGGGATTATTTCTTCCTTAAATGTTTAGTAGAATTCACCTAAGAAGACAGGAGCAAGGACTTTATTTTATTTACTGCTATATCCTCAGCATCTAAATACTGTGGTAGATGGAGAAAATAAAGCACAGAGATTCACATGGCCAGCAGTGGTTTGAACTCCCCTTTGTCTCATGTACAGTCATCAGTCCTCTACCGCCTCACATAGCTGATCCCTGTGCCTCTGGGAATGAGAGATGAAATAGGGGGAGGGGCAGAAAGGTGTGTGACCTGGATTATCAGGACCAACAGACACTTTTACCTGCCCTTCTTTCTTCTGCCCAAGGTCCTTCAGAGGGCCAAGTGCTCTGGTTCTAATCTGAATCTCAGACAAGAGGTTCATGAGCTTGCTCAGGAAGCCTTCTCTGTGAGAATTACAAACCTGTTTGTTTTATTTCAAGGGAACTCCTTGCCCTTGTCCTCCCAGAATCCAAGAGACAGGAGACAGCTGACCTCAGGGGCCAGCAGCAGGGCTGTCTACTTCCTGTGAGATCCCCCCAGGCTTTGGGGCAAACCTGCTCTGAGTTCTTTCCCATAAGGGCTTGGGACCTTTGTCTCACCTTCCATTGTTAAGCGCCCAGCTCTGGGAACATCTTCTCACTGTCAGGTCCCCACCTCTGCTGTTGGGTTGCATCAGCTACTGCATCTTCCAGATCCCTGGCCCTCTCTTCTGAGCTCTGACTTTGGACTCCACCTCGCCCTGGCTTTCAGCTGTGTGGCTCACTGTACCCCAGTTCTCAGGCTCCATGAATCAGGAAGACCCGAGCCTTAACAGAGTCCTGGAGGGGTAAAATATACATAGCATAAAATTTACCATCTTAGTCATTTTTAAGTGTGTGGGTCTATGGCATCAAGTACATTTTCATTGTTCTGCACCCCACCACCAGCCATCTTTACCACTTTTTTATCTCCCCCAAATGCAACTTGATGCCCATGAAACACTAACTGCCATTCCCCTTTCCCTGGCCCCTGGCAACCATTATTTAACTTTCTGTCACCATGAATTTGACTACTCTAGGTACTTTAAGTAGAATCAAACACTTTTTGTCCTTTTGTGTCTGGCGTATTTCACTTAGCACAGTATCATTAAGGTTCATCCATGTTGTAGCAGATGCCAGAATTTCCTTCCTTTTTAAGACTGAATAATATTCCACTGTATGTATAGACCATTTTTTGTTTATTTATTCATTCAGCAATGAACGCTTGGATTATTTCCACCTTTTGGCTTTTGTGAATAATGCTACTCTGCATGTGGGTGTACGAACACCTACTCCAGTCCCTGCTTTCAGTTGTTTTGTCTTGGAGTCCTGTGTGCCTATTTTTTTGTTGTTAGGTTGGTGCTGGGAGGCACCTGAGCTCTGTGGTTTCAGCCCCTCACTTTACACCAAGGCACTGCAGTGCAGATGGAGAAGGGACTTGCTTACTGTCAGACCTAGCTAGAAACAGAGCTGAGCCTAGGGGCTGTTGACTCTGCTAAGCATACCCCCCACCCTGTCATGCTGGCTCCTAACCTGGCCCAGGTCTCAGGCCTGCAGGGTAGGATGTTGCTCAGATCCTTTGCCCACTTATAGTAAGGGCAGGTATTTCTGGGCCCTCACACTTATATGGCCCCCCAGCCCCACCGTTTGCCCAGCCAGCCTCTGAAACATTGCATCTTTCTTCCATTGACAGAAAACAGCAGTGGGCCCAGAGTCTCCTGACACCCATCCCACCTTGGGCCCAGCTCTATAGCCACTCTGTCCCCTATATCCACTGCAGGGGCTCAGTCTTTGCAAAGAGCAAAAGCCTTGGCTCTTCTCCTGTACCCTCAGAAGCTGGGATGTTTCCACCCTGGCTTCTGCCCAAACCTCAGACACAAGTGCTGTTGTCTTGGAGGGGTCTGGACCTGGCTTTTTCCCGAACACTAGAATTCACATTCTTTCTGGGGAGAGAAAGGGGAGGAGGACATTGGAAGGGCAGTGAGAGGAAAATGAACATTCATTGAGAGCTTGTCGGAGCTAGGGTTTTTACATGGTGGGCTCCTATGCTTGGCAGCCCTCAGGTCACCTTCAGAGCAGACACTTCTCTGTGGCTCCAACTAAGAGTGGGGCATAGGCAGAGCTGGCCAGTGCTTCCACCGATCCTCCCTTTTCCTGCTTCTAGGGATGTGGGAAGAATTTTCCTCTTTTCTGCTGGTCTGAGATCATGAAACCCCGCCGCTCAGGCCCCTGCCTGATGCTTTATCCTGGTTCCATCAGCCATCACTATTTGAATGCTTCTAGGAACGAGTTGCTCACTGATCTCCAAGGTGCCTGGGGCAGTGCTTGCTGGTAGAAAGCCCTTCCTTACATTGTGGCCAGATCTGCCTCCCAAGCCGCCTTTCTCTGTTCTCCTTCAGCCCTCAAGCAATGTTAGCAGTTACTGCTGATCAGACTTTTCTTGAAGGCCAGACCCAGTGCTAAGGGCTTTACAAATATTATCTTATTTCAACCTTCTAACGGTTCTGCTAAATTGGAGTGTACACTTTGCAGGTGAGCACAGCTGCTCTTCAGCCAACATAACCAGTACTACTGTACCAGTGGATAAAATGGTGATATACTTCTGTACCACTGGAAAATTGCTGCCACCACTGCTGCCCTGTGTCCCAGAGGGTCCTAGGGCCTGTCCAGGAGCACTCTGATTGGTCAGGTCCCTACAGGTGAGGGAAGTAAGACTCAGAGAGGGGAAGTAACATGTCTAAGGTCACACAGCTGATTAGAGCCCCATTTC